ATATTTGCAATATGTTCCGCGTAGAATAGGCACGCAATGCTGTTCAGTGGTTGGAATGTTCGCTAATAGCACATCCTTATCAGCGCTGATCACGCCTGCGGATTACAGAGCGCCCGCTCGGTTCCTCGAGCATCTTATCCTCATGACTGGGCCGGCCAACTGACGTCAACTGAAGGCTCGTGAGCATTACAAAGGGTTATTACCTCCTCCTCCGTGACGTCTTCATTACCTTACCCAAACTGTTCTTTTGCATGCGTGGGCCGTGTTCTTACATGGCTTAGATATGTTCACCTGGAATTACTATCGCATTACACCAGACGGACTATCATGTTACTGTGAAATGGTTGGGTAAGGTTAGTGAGAGCCCAAGCATGTTTAGCATTTGACTGCGCATGCCTGGACACAAGTTTTGTTGAGTTGACCGGAATCAACCGAACTGTTGTGAACTGTGAACTGTTGGGCCCAGTTCACAATCAAAAGTTCCAAAGCGCAAAAATTTCCGTTTGAATTGAGTCGCAACAGCTGAGAAGTAAAAAATTCAAAAAATTTTCATTTTTAGCATTGCAACGATCGAAGAGTAGCTTCCAAGTGACTTGTTTCTCAATTAAATGCCTAAGATCAGCTAGGAGGTAAACCGGTGCTCCTTTCAGCCAGGTCAATAACTATAAGCACGCATTAATTTTTTGTGATCTTAACGTACCTTTAACAGAATAATATTGGTGTTTTCCTGAAAAATATTCCTGAAATATTATTCTAATGGGTGATAAGCTGCGTCATAGCGAGAACTGTTGAATTAGGCTCTGCATGAAAGAAAATTATTTGTTCTCATATTTGCCCTAAAATCATTTATCCTCGTATTTTCATATTTCTGAATTGGAAGGAAGATGGTTCCTTCTATTTAAATGAATTGGTTCAAATATCGAAGTTGTGTATGTATACTGCAAGGTAACATGTTACTCGGTAATTAAGTTAGTTATATTTATGGACGATTTTTTTGAAAAGTATATCATCTATTGATTTTGAACTCCTCATTTTCTTCGCGGTCTCACAAAAATATAATATGTGCCATAATATTATAGTGTCAGCGCTGAATAGTAAGGCCATATCCAGTCGGTCACCGCCCTGATTGTAGATATCGCCGATTTTTTTCCGCTATCTGTGTTTCGAATCACCTGGCCACCTAGCAATATCTAGTTTTAACTGCTTGCTGAGGACCGAACCAGCAACTCACTGCCCTAATCTTTCTGCTCATATCACACGGTCGACTCCTGTTTTATTGGTCTTTAATTCTCATTCATCAATTTAAAATTCTTTGCCAATGCAGTGAATTTTAGAACGGGTAGGAGAAAAACCAGGCTTCAGTAAAAATCTCCACTGTCTAATAAATGTAACATAACTTGGAGGACGGCAATACAAAACCAAATGCCATTTAAATCGTCATATTTAAAGGCCAGCTCACATGACCTTAGTCTCGGCTGGGTCGTGTATCATTAAACAACCTGCACTTTATGGGATTAAGTTCATTGACGAGTTACTTCACATGCATGGCTGATAGCTGCGGTCTTTGCTTTAGCCATAATTGTCACAAAGCATGAATTTTCGCCCTATAATCTCATCAGTGCCAGGTTGCGTAAAAAAGAACTTGATAACTTGAATATAAATAAAATTTTATTTCATCAAGTCCAAGCGTACGCAAACATAGCAACTTTTGGAGCTCATATTATTACACGCAGAGCTTTAGCTCAAAGGATCGTCAGTCTCATCTCATCTTCGCTCTTTTCTTGCATGATTTAATCTTGCATTCATGCAGTGCGGCAGAGAGCATTTTTTACCGAGACTTCTTAGATCATTGTGGACGTGGCCTCCATGACTGTCTCTACTTTTCGAAGGCCAAACTCTAAATAGCGCGCATAACTTAAGGTATTTGAAGGACACAACTTTGTATAGTCTCTATCAACTTGCTGGACTTGAGAATTCGGGAATTTTTTTCCTGCATGGTTTCGCACTAGTATCTCGTATTGTTAATGCTTCTGTCTTCAGATAATTACTTTGCAAATTGAATTAGTGAACCTGTGGATTATACGTTAATAATTCAGGCATAGCTAGCTAAAATCGAAACTTTTTATCACAGATATGCAAATCTAAGCTTATATTGATTGTTATTACACCTGCGTTTAGAGTTCGTTCTTTTCAGAAGTTAACTTTTTCTACTCGCAAACCCCCATTAGGTCACGTTCAATCAATTAGTGACAGTTTTATTTTAAAATCCTATCTACATCTGTATATTTCAATGATCTCATCTTTGATGATTAATTTTGATTCATTACCATTCTTACTCACAAAAACACTATTGTACCCACAAAGGTGTACACAACGTGGCATACTGTGAGTGGTGTATATACACACCTATGGTTGTGCACACAGTGTGATGTGTACTCAAGTGGTGTGCCCTCAGAGTGGTGTGTAAATAACTACTCACAATAAAGTAGTCATGGTAGTTTACACTTTATGGAGTAATGAATGCACTTACTAATACCACAGTTCATCGAATCACTGAACAAACCCAGTATAATCATATAAATTTCAAGTATTGTTGGCTGTGAAATATCTATGTACATCTTATCCTTGACTGTATTAAAAGAATTTACGTGTAGCCAATTTTTAGAAACCTCCACTTTGGGCCAAATTTTCAGACTGCTCGAAGAAGAGATGTAATTCTTTCATGTTTCTTGACTCACTTCTTACTGACTACTAGGGGCTCATTTCTGGAGTTCTCATTCGTTCATAAAATACCGCTTGAACGTGGCTGCCGCCTCATAAATATCAGAGTTGAAGCTTGAGTTTCAGACGAGGTATTCAAGGTGGCGTTTAACTCTGAAACTCTTAACAGCGAAATTGAACGAAGCCCTTGAGTTTCTGAAGAAAGCTTGAAATACTGCTGAAAAATTATGTATCTCTGCGAAACTTATCTGATTTATTTCTTTCAGTAAATTCAATCCGTAAATTCAGTAGTAAATCAGTAAATTTCTGTATATGGTTATATACAATGTTTGGATTGTCACTTTAGCAATTCAACGGGCGATGTAAGGTATTATAGCAGTAAAAATGTAAGCACGAAAATGTGTCCAATTTGAATTAAATCTAACGATATTTTGCATATTGAAACTTGACTGTTCTAATTTCATATTCCGTGAAGTCCTCGATTGATTTTTCTAGTAAATGACAAAAGGTTTTCTTCCATGAGTGCCTGAAACTATCATCAAATTCTTATTTGAGCGTTTGAAATGATTTCATTGCTAATTTTGTGCGTTTACTGCTGATGATTTGTGCCACCGATTTACTTGCCTGAAAAGTAATCAAATTATTTTGTTTCATAAAATTTTAACTCGCAATTTTTACATTTGGAAGTGGATTTGGTCGAATATTTATCACAGTCTCTCTCTGTTTCTATGTCTTGTTTCTGTATAAGGCACTTTTTTTACAGTTAATTTTTTTATTTTTCGCACTTTTTTGCGTGTATTTGACGTCTGCAACTTTAACCAAATTTTTTGCTCTATCGCAAAATCCTTAAAAATAACTAAACTCGCGGTCTCCTCAAAACGAAGGTGGAAAGCTTCATATAATCACGGACCATTTCTCTGCTCGTGATGTTTCTTTGTGTAGCGAATGCATTTCATTTTATTTTGCCAAGTTAATAAGAGATATTCGGAGTGTGACTAGAGCTGCTGCGAAATCATTAGCGTCCGCTGATGTCAGGGTGCGAGACGAGCGACCTGTCATGCCAGTGCGCCAATGATGGAAAATCATTCCTCATCGTCGTGTCCTGCGGCATCCTCGTCTTGGCATAAGGAGAAACCTCCGTGACTATTGCAGCCTTTTATTGTTTCGATTTCTCCTTCATTATGATATTTGCACTAGAATCTATCTTTTTTTAAAGATCAAAAGCTATTAACGATGACAAAAATTGTTTCTATTCACATCCCTTATGGGCTAGCTTCTTATCTAGTCGGAAAATGTCTGGAACACTTAATAATAATATCGTTTAAATCGTTGCTGAACCAAAGCTGCTGATAATTGGATAGCATGGATAATGTGCGAGTAGTCTTTGACACGCCGAGGCTCTGAATACCGGACACTGTTGGATAATTGAGACGTCGCATGGCTGGTTGTTTGACTAGCGTTTGTTAGTTCGTTTGTTATGCACAAGTCTTCGTTTTTTTAGCCAATACCGCGGTACTATATTTTTAGCGTCGTTATTAGTGTTTTTTCAATTTTATAGAAAAAATGATGCATTGATATTATTTTTTATTGCTTTTCAAAACAATTGTTATCTTGAACTTGGTTTATAATTTTTTTTCCAAATTCCACTAATAATTTGCCTCGTTGGCGCAGACGATTCGATCGTTAGAATTGATATATCATTCAAACCAACTGTATTTTAACTTGCGTTATTGGACGCCAGGAACTCGTTTTTGTTTGCTAGCATTTTGCTCCTTTTTAAAAGCACTCCTAACTGCTATTAGCCTGCTTTTTTTATTGCTTGAGCAACTTGTTATCTGCCTTCTGTGATACCAGCGAGAATGAAACGCTCTGTTTGTCTGCTATATAGGATCTGAACCTATTATGTTTGAAAGCAGTGGTTTTTTAGTTTGTGATTATACCATGTTGGTCGCATTTAGCACTAAAATCTTCCGCTCATTTTGAACAACTTGGCATTTTGTATTCATTCTTTGTTATTAAAACTAGAAGGGTTATGATATTATTTCCATAATTTAAACACGTAAGTTTCTGTGAATTCAGCAAAACAGGATCAAGTCTTGAGATAGTCGATGGCTCAGCACATATTTTACTTTAGAAATTGCAAATATGTATTAATTTGGTCGCGAGCTACTTCTATTTTTGAAGATTCACACGTAACTTGATCGATTCCGCACACTCCTTATTCTTCGATTTTTAATAGTCGTAATCAAACTAACCATAATTATTTTTGTTCATTTTCCAGGGTCTAGTAGGGGGCATATAATTTTGAAATTAAATTCAATGTGGGTTTACATTTCCTCACACTCGTAGTTTATCAAATTTTCGGTGACCACTTGCAAACACGCTGCACTAAATGAAATGCCTTTTTCATTATACTTGTAAAACCACCAAACCGTGAAATTTTGATTTCTTATTCTGCCCTCGAACATTAGTCTGTGATCAAACGGTGAAACGTTTTGTCTGATATTGTTGAAATTTCGCCATAGAACAAATAATGTTTATCTATTTGTGCATCGTAATTCAGTGAACTCTTTTAATTATTTTTAAAACATGGGTGATTCTCCATCGTCCATGACTGGTTCAAAATTTTTACTGGTGCCTCCAGTCGATCAGACAATCTTGGAGCACTGGCCTCCAGAAAAGCCCTACAGTAATGCTGTCGGAAATCCTGGAGGTAATGGTGCAGCAGAGACCGCTTCTGATCGGGAGAAAGTTTTGAAGCTTCTGCAAACGAGCTCAAAAATAGTCAAGAATCTGAAATCGACCTCCTTGCCTGATCTCAGGGATAACTGCGTCATCAAGATGCATGCCGAGAGATTGGGCAAGGGTGTATGTTTGCGAACTTCTGGTCAAAACCAAAGTGTGCGCTGCTTGAAAATTAATCGGTCTTTCCGGTGCAGTGCGGTCATGGCTGATATAAAAAAGAGTGATTTGATTGCTCCTGTTGATATAGAAAACAAAGTTATTCGTAAAGTTATTGAACGGAAGGTCTTGAGACCAACGTTATCCAATCAGTTGACACCGACTTACCTTTCTGAAACTTTTGACAATTTTCAGTATGAAAATATTTCCTTTTCTGAACGGGTTAGGGAGAAGGAAAGGGGATCGGTTCCAGTCAGAGAACTTCCCAAGCGTTCCTCGTTCACATCGGCGCTGAACGAAAGCGTCCTCAAGCTGCTCCCTGAGAATATCGAGGTGGACTTCACTGCCGACCCCGCGGCCGAGGAAGATTGGCCGGGAGAAATTCGACGAATAGGAAGCATTTTTTCTGACGACTCTGATTCGTTCAGTCGGCGAGCATCTAGTAATGCCGGCGATAACGAAAGTTTCGTTGATCCTGGAGAGTCGGTAAGCCGACGAGCGTCGAGTGGCATCGGCAGCGTTGACGGGCGTAGCTCCTACAGCAGAACACAAAGCATAGACGAAGAGGGTTCCGAGGCGCCTAGCAGACGTTCATCAAACAATACCGCCACCGAACCCATAGACGAATCGTCTCTTGTCACGCAGAGAGACCGCATCGGTCGACGACTTGACTCTGTCTTTGGCATAAAAGAGACGGTGAGCCGGCGCACTTCGGGCGAGACAGGCTACAGTCCCGACCCTCTCGTACGGCGAGACTCGCTGCTGGAGGCTGTGCTCGCAGCCAAGAAGGGCGGTTGGCGTAACCTCGTCAGGTCTGAGAGTCTGGACAGCGCTTCGTCCTTTGCGTCGTCCCTAACGTCCAGCCTTGCGTCCGACACATCGGGCTGTCCTTGTGATGACTGCCTTCTTGGCCTCACGCAGCCGCCCAGACCAAAGAAGGTAAGACAATAGTATTGATTGTGCTTACGATGTTATTTTTAAAGTCATCTTGTTGCAGATGCCATGAGTACATATGAAAAAACATTGCTATACTTTCTGTTAAGTTTCATGACTTATAAAACCGACTGACATCAAAAGACTTGATTTAATGTGTTGATTGGGGTAGGAAATTACAATTTCTATTTTTCTTGCACTTAAATTGATCGAAGCAACGCTTGCTTCGTGAATATAGGTTTGAGTATTCGAGTAAAATATCACATGTATTGGATAAATTTTTGCATCGAAAGCTTGATCTGGACTCAGGAGTTTGTAAATTGTAATCGTCGTTTCGAGTGAGGCTATATGCGTACGTTGAGCCCAGCTATGTTTAATTGATTTGACAAAGAGTGTTATTGTAGTCTTGATAATGAGGTGCTAATCATTAGGATGGTAATGGGAATTTTTCGTTACAATAAAATACAATTCTCAATTTATGCAGGCGTGCCTGCTTACTCTCTGCCGGTCAGCAGAATATAGCACTGAAGAACGAGATTATAAAGTCACAGTTGCTGGTGAAAATACGTTTTCTATGGTCTCATTCGTGAAAATTAGAAAACTGTAAAATTGATGCATAACTGAAGTGTTGTTAGTCACGAGGTGTTGAACTATGTCAATCGCAGCTAGACGCTAGTACATACATAGCAGATCCTTCAGGGGCTAATTCTTGAACATATCTTGCGATACCAGGATTTTCGATTGAAAAAAATTTCGGCTTTCCTATTGCTTCGAAATCTTACAGTCCGTTTGTCGGTCAAATTGGCTTTGCATTTTTGCCACTTACAATAAAAGCGAATTTTATTTATTTTAAAATTTATTTCCTTTAAATATACAAACAGCAGGCATTTCTTTTTCAATTCATCTAAAAAGTAGAGGCTGTAGAAATTTTATACAATAAGTTGTTTGAACACATTTTCGAAGCTTCTCTCTTCGTTCGTCGAACTGTATATGAGACAAACTGTCATTTCATGACACATAAGAATCCAGTGGTGTTGGCTCGCACAAGTGTTTTTAATGGAGCATTGCGCATTCGCCCTCTATTTTGCTGACCGAGTTCTATTTAATGACAGTGCAGATGTGGCCTAAGGCTTATAGGATTCCGTGAGATGAGGAACACTCGCATTCCAATTTCGTAGCAGTGATACGAGCAACACAGCTGTACATACGATGACGCTCAGCTGTGTTAGTGAGATGACGCAGATGAAGGCCGCAGCTGGGGCTCTACCCTACATCGGTAGCGGGCCCTGTCAAGGGATAGGATTTGTGATGTTCTTTGCCTGTACCCAGCGTTTAATATGTGTTACATTATGCTGACATACTTAAAATATTTGAACCCGTGTACTATCAATCAAAGGATTTATTTCATTGAATAATTTGTTAACAGCGGAGATTCATTCAGTGACAAGTACATGTATCGAAACGTTCTCCTTGTGAGAAATGGGAATATTGTTGTGGTACGTACTACGTGAGTTTTAACGTTGAAGTAGTTAAAATTACGTTGAGTTTTCACCGTGGCTGCTGCGTTCCTCTATGATTCTCGTTCCCTCTTGTTTGAACATTTGATCGATTTGTTTCCTTCTGCCTTGAATCTTCATTTCTGTATAGCGCTGTTGATATATGTTTCAAGCGCATGGAATAATTAGATCGTTCGATTTCAGCGTGTTTAAATTATAACGAATTCATACCCGGTTGATCTAATGTATCCGTATCTGTTCGGCTGAACGCCGTTGGGGTAAATCCCTATGAAGTGTGTCTGACGGCCTTTAGTCGCATGCCATATGCTCTAGGAACGGTTTCCCCCTAAACGCTTACAATTATTCGCTGGTATTCCTTATCTCCGCAGCAGCGCTGGGTTTGTTGTGCCGCGACAAACGTGTACGCAACATTGAATTATTATGCGTACGTAGTAGCGTGATGTTCATCGCGCTGTTTTATTACGACATAACGGTAGTCGACTCTCGTCAACTGATTTGTTTATTCCACATATTTAATCGAATAAACTCGTCTATTAATCTCGACAAAGAATTTCATCTTGAGATACAAAAGCTCAGTTGCGGTACCAGCCTGCTAAATATTCCGAGAGATAAACTATTGCCACGCCAATTGTACTGCGAATGCCTATAGCAACGGTCAGATTCCTCTCACATCTGCCGTGCTAGGGTCATAACGTAGATAATTACTTAATTTTCATCTTCATCAACAAATCTTGATTATTATTTCATTTACTTACTTCATTGCTTATTATTGATCAAACTGAATATTAATGGAAAGTATTTAACTCGTAATTCGTTTAATCTTATGATCGAGTAATTCAGTGGATTAATAAATCTGTCGGCGTATTTTTTCCAAAACTAAATTTTCCGCACTGTTCTTTGTTGAGAAATTATCATTTACGCGTTCTTGTGACTTGTTTGTGAATAATAATGACCTTTATGTAATATGTAAAACATGATTTGTATTAATTTTGATACAAATTGTTAGGCAACCATACGTTACGTTAACCGTAGGTAATACCAAATAGTATACTCGTATTACAACTGTTACTACAGTATTGCATAACAGTATTACAAACTGTCAGACCATCCTGCCGGGAAAGATAATCCCTGAACCGCCTTAAAATTACATTCAATATTATACGAGTGCGTACGTCGAGTTTCATTATTTATTTTTTAATGAAATGTATTCGTAACTATATAAGTCCTATTAATAATGACCAAATCCCTAAAAACTAATACGTTCTGCGATTTAAATCTAAATTTGAACAGTTTCTTTCGAATAAATAGTAAATTGTACCGAATCAAGAATCAAATGAAATGTTAATTGTATGATAATAATTTAATTTGGACCGACGTATGATGCATGGTTCGATAATTATGATATAAGGGGAATGAAAAAATTAGCGTAGAAATATACATAAATGGAAGTGTATATATTAAACACCGTTTTAAAATATGCATGGGATTGTATGAAAATTTTAAGGAGTATGTTCGACGTATTTTTAGTAAGGTCATGAAAACAACTCCGGAAAACCCTCAAGAAATGCACAGTAAATTACGAAATGTGTTATAAATTTATGGAAAATATTTGCAAAACTTTTTAATAATGTTTATTATATGCATAGAGAATAGAAAATCCCAGAAAAAAATGTTCGTCAATAAATAAATAAATAAGAAGTACAGTTGAATGTCTAGTCATGAGGAAAAAATTCTTTATACCAGCTACTGTAATCCATGTATTTAAAATATTTTTGTCCAGAATCCACTCAATTTCCAGACTAAAAGAACGGTTGTTGAGAAAAGACGAGCTCGAAATGATATTCAACATTGAACTCCCACTTTACTTTCGTTTGTAAATGTGAAAAATAGTTTATATTGTATAAATTCAGTTTTGCGACTAAGAAATTTAAAATCTTCTTAAAAATCAAATCAAATGGCTCATTATATTCCTTCAATTCAAATAAAATTTCCTAACCTGCTATATATCCTTACCGAAATGTACTTGTATTTTGATACGCGCTCGAGTAATCCTTAATTATATGTACAACTCAGGCTCCAAACACACGATTAAACAAATGTAATCTTACAAATATATGATAAAATACGTCAAATTTTAGTTAAATCGTGAATATTTTGGAGACATGATTACAGCTCGGTATCATGGAATCTTGTTATTTCCCCTAAGATCATTAACTTAATGATCTTTCTTGAGAGCATCACAACCCTGCTGCCTTGCTCTCCTATCTGTTGGCATATAGGAGGAATTGTTCGTATCTCTCTATACACTGGCGAACTGAGCTGCTGCATCTAGGGCGATTGCAATGTCTAGCATCTCACTTGCAATAGAGATCATAGTGTGTTGTTGTATTTGGTTGAATTAAACGAGGTTACGATTATTGTGTCAAGAGTTGTGTGTGGACAATAGAGCTTTATAAGGAAGAGCTTGATATTGCGAGGATCTTCTGTACTGGCTGAGGCCAGTTACTTATTGCTGCTGAGAGCCCTCCTGTGACGTCACCTTGACGTCATGCATCCTTAAGCTAACGCTTGTGCGGAGCTGTGAAGAACCTCTTTGATTAAACTAGTCTAGTCGTCTTGCTAGATCGGCTGTACTTCTATTAGCAGCATGGCACTGTGACGTATGTGGCCCTTATCGTACTTTTTTGTTTAGCGCAAAGACCTTGTACCGGGAAAACTTTACGAATTAATCGTATAGTCTCTACGATACTATTTCTAGAAATTCATTATCTTGACGCCATTCGGCCTTGTGTTCCGTTAGCTCTTGAACAAGTCAAAATCGACTCTGATCTTAAAACATTCTCGCAACACTTCCAAAGCATAATTGAGATGGTTTTATAACATTCAATTAATATTTTATTGGGCATCGTTAAAACTTTTTAGAATAAAAATTATTTCACGTTCCTTCGTTTAGTATTCAATAATTCATTCCCGAATTTAACTTTTTAATTAATCAAAGAATGTAATTAATCAAACTTGTAATTAATCAAAGAATGGACGGCTGCAGGTGGCAGCTCATGTGTGAACTGCCACAATAGCACATCTGTCATCCAACAACTCAAGGACTTTCATTGTGCCTACAGCTCAGCGTCTCTTGTTTCAAATTGTTGTGCTGAGCCATGTTCAAAATTGTTTTCTTTTATGAAAGAAATTATTCAAATTAGGAGCTCCTTATCATTTTCTGCATGCACACGGAAGGTTAAACATAGCTGATACCACACACAATGTACAGAAAAAAATGAATTCTAAACGACGGTACGTATTGCGAATAAACTGCGTGAATATACACTGTTAGTAAAAGATGGTTTTGCTCATACAAGTGCTGCGTCACTTGCGCATCGTTCAACACAATCCAATTAGAGTCAACTGAACGTCTGCGTTGACCAATGTAATAAGAGCAGCTTTTATGAGATAAACGTCAGCATTGATCAGGATATTTTGTGAGGCGTT